CTCGGAATGATTGTGTTAAGCTAGCACTAAGTCCCCCCATCCACCTTTATCCTTTTCTTTACAAAAAGACTTTCAAATAAGTCATGGCTGTACGGCAGTGAAGAATGGGTGTTGAACACTGATGTCATGCTGTCGATGATGATGATGATTAGTTCCGTGTCGAGCCCCACCTCCAAAAAAACCCCTACTATCCGCTGCCCCGTAGTTTGTTGGACTTGAATCGAACGCCATGAGCAGGGCCTCTGAACGAAACTCTTTAACAGGGAGTCAAACTTTCGATTGAGCATACCACGGAAATCCTCGTCCTTGACTGGAACAAACGGGAAATATCATTTGCCTGCACAGTTCATTGTCCACTGATGTTCTTCCCCAATCTCTTCCCACTTTACAGGCAAGCGTCGCTGAATCACTTGATTTTAATTTTCTGATCGATTTGCCTCGCTCCTCAGGAATACTGAGGTCTCACTCCAACGCGACAAGACACCTGCCCCCCTCGCACACTTCAAAACTGGTGGCATGGTCCTGGTGAACATTCTGACGGCCGTACTTCAGAAGATTTAGACTCAAACAATACCAGTAGAATGGAGCTCCTTGACCATCATTTTGGTCTTCAAAAGGAGCGGAAACTATCATGGCATCCGCCTAGTAAAGTGCTCTCGAATTATTTTTAGCAAGCTGATCGATTATCCGGAGGGGCAGATCCATGAGCATCGTGCATTGCCCTGGCTGGAGATGCATGGACCATATCTTTACCTTCGGACAAGTTCTTGAACAAAACCACTCCTACAAACGTCCCACGTTAGTCACCTTCCTCGATCTGAGAGTTAATTTTGAATCCGTCACTCCTAAAAAACTTTCGCGGTATCTGGCGAACAAAAGTGTCCCTTCCAAATTTATATCTCTTGAGAGGGTAGTGTATGCGAACTCCTGTGAACACGTACGAGTGTGGCAAACTTTCACTTGGGTTCACTAATTCCAGTGGTGTTTAGCTTTGTTATTGAAGTGCTGCTCGAAATTCCTCTGCCTGTCTCTGGAGCATCCGGGGTCGAAGTGCCCCTGGAACGTCTCCTCACAGACATTTAGCATGCGGACGACATTGCTCACCTTGGTTAAGATCCTTGGAAAATGCGAACTGCCATAAATAACATCAACAGGATGACATCAGTGTTCAACACTGATGCTTCGCTACCGTACAACCATGATTTATTTGATAACCTTTTATGAAGAAAGGAATAAAGGTAGGCAGGGAAGGGACTTGGTGCTAGTTCACTGCAATCATATCAAGGTGCCTACACTTCCAGACTGACAACAAGAACACCACCGGCATCGATTAGCAGCCATATCTTGCAGAATCTCTAAGCAGGCGCAATGAGGATCACACGGTCCTCATCCTGGAAGGTGAGTGGCACCGACAGCACCCAAACGTTTCGTAATCTCTTTCATGCCCCTTTGAAGGACCAAAGGTTAACCACCTCTCCGCTTCTGCCAATCTGAATTGGGCACAGAAAATAGCGCTCACTTCGACAAACGGTGGCTCGGCGTGCAAAACACATAGCTAAACCAACGTAGCTTCTGTCGGAAGTCTCCGTTGCACAACCGAAAACTCGCCTTCTGATTGTGGACTTTCCGAAACCAACCCAGACGAGCTATGATCCTGAGACAATGATTCTGGAACACTTGAAGACGTCTCAGTTCCGCTGTTCGAACAGACCAAGTTTCACAGCCATACAGCAAAACAGCCCACGCTGTAGCCTGATACGCACGTTCCTTCAGATCCAGGGATATACCGCTTTGACGCCATATATGTCAAATTAGCAAACATGACTCGGGCCTTGCAGATTCGTGCATCGATCTCATCCGTCACACTACAGTCAGAACTAACACAACTTCCAAGATACGTGAAACGCACCACAACGTCGAGTGTGCTCCTGGATTGCTATTGGCGCCTTTAGTGTTCACGAGCATGACCTCACATTTTGTAGGTGCAAAGTGCATACCAAAGGACGGGATGACTTTGGTCAGTTCATCTAAAAACACTTGCACATCCTCGAAGGCGAGAACGATGTCGCCCGCGTAATCCAGATTGATAGGGTTTTCGTCACCGGGGTTTTTGAAGGCTCCAACGTTCGTCTCATTATTTCATCGGTGACGAAATTACATAAGAATGGGGCTTGAACGGGCATCCGTGATGAACACCACTGTGCTTGCATCTGAGATCTGTTCGTTTCTGAGATGCAGCACACAGTGCCAAGTGAGTCCGGTGTCGGGGCGAGAGCAGTTAGTTGTCTTGCTTGCTTCAGACTGCGGACACCAAAGTCGGCCAGACAGACTGGGCTTGAAGATTGATTCCCGGACGCCCGAGGTTGTCGGCGCCTAATGCCGCGGAGAGTTTGCCTGAAAAATCGATGCAGGACGAACAGAGTCATCATTCCTAGGTTCTGGGCCTACAAGAACAGAGTTATTAATAGAAGAGAGGAAGAAGAAAAAGCATGTGAAAGAAATATGTGAGGCGTCAGCAGCACCTTGTTTTCGCTTACGCACCCTACTGTATGCGGCAAGTAAGGTGATCAGGCTGATGGCACCACACGACAGCCGATGTGACACGAGTTCCTTTGTGTGTGTATGCAATTCTTGGTTGTAGTGGGCTGAGACATTACCAGGGCACCCACACCTACACAGGAGGACGATTGGGGTCCTCCATTCCAGCTCTTGGCTCAAAAGCCTAACTGCAAGGCAGCGGCGTTTGGCGGGTAATCGAAATACAATGCCGTTTTACGGAACAGGTCGCAATACATGCTCCAACCCCCAACCTGGAGGACCAGGAGACTGTTTCTCAGACCTCTAACTATTGAGCAACCTGGTATGAGAGGCTTGCGAGTGTCGCGCGGATACCCTGTAGTAGAGTCAGCGGTTCGCAGAAGTACACAAATTATCACACCGCATCAAGGTCCATTCTCTCCGTGACAGTTTAAATAACATATATTTGAGTTTTGAATACGCTGAATAACGGTTTGGCGTCCGCTTCCCATCCGCAAAGTGTAAAGTGCTGCTACAATACGGTGGGATTAAGTCCAAATCTCACTCCTTGGAATGTGCCGATCGACATGGTTTATATACCTGGGCGGTTGTATGAGTTTCGGTGGACCTGCTGGAAACCAAGATTACTTCTCGAATCGGGAAGGCCAGGGCACTTTTTGTCAAATTTCGACACCTATGGTGCCTACTTGTCTGTCAGGGGCAGAGTTTACATTGCGGTCGTGCGATCCATACTGTTCTATTGGACAGAGTCGTGGCCTCTACGTTCAAAGGACATACAAAGTATGTCAGTGTTTGACCATCGGGGGGAGGGGTTTGGTGGGAACGTCGGATTAACAATGCTAGGCTATTTTATGAAAGAGCCGTTATAGAGACTAGACGCACAACGTGAACACCTCGTTTAGCCATTGGGAAGCAAGTGGACTCAGAAATCAAATCAGAACCGGCCCCTCGAAAGCTTACCAGATGGTCCAACGTTGGATATTAATGCCCCTGTCTAGGCTTGGGCAACCTGACCCAGCCCTCGTGCTTCCTTTGGATGGCATGGCAGCTATGCACCGAAAGGGTGCTACAGTTGAACGACGACGAATATTAATGTCACGGAGAACAGATTTAAGAAGCGCTATTCAAAGCCGAGTCTGCTGTTCACGATACAATCCAGCCAACTTCACCCAAACATTTGATCTTAGATGGAACCATGGTTTTGCTGGAGGCCCGGCGACAGATATCTCCTGGTCAAAATCACAACTCAACCCGACACGTCATCTGATGCCAGATGAAACTGAGTGTCCATGTAAACCGAGAAGCTTGCTAGGCCCGAAAGGCCAAGAAAATCGGAGAGGCAAAAATGCTGGAAACGTTCGCAGGCTGTTCCAAGTGATTTGTTCGACTGGTCCTCTGAAGTTCAGTCAGTGGCGCTCCTGCATCAAGGCTGTTGCTTTCAATGCGTTGGTACCCAGTTCTGCAACTAACTGACCATGTCGTCACCACTGCTTGTCTGTATGTCGAGCGCTTTTCCAGTTTCCAGTGAGCGAAATCATAGCAGCTGGAACCAATGGCACATAGTTTATAAATGATAAATTCGGTCCTAAATTCCGGCTAACAGCACTCGATATCTGCGAACGAATGCTGTGGGAGCATTTTGACTCTGCAGGCGTTAAGGACTGGAAGTGAGTTTTCTATGGTCATATCAGTGACAGTTTCAGAGGAAAGATTAAAGAAGATACCCGATTCCCAAGAATCGCGCCAAACATGTGAACATAGCTTCCCACGTTTTTGAAACAGAGTAATTTCGCTTGAATGATACGGGATGTAGGGAGATATCCTCATGCGTTTTCATTTGATAGGTCAATGAACATTACGGCAGTGAAACGTCGGTGTTGAACACTGATGTCATGCTGCCGATGCTGATAATGATACCGTTGGTTGTGGCGGGGCTTTTCGTGAACCACGCGTCCGCGAGAGTTAGATGAGGAATTTTCGCAGACATCTTTGCTCCGTATATACTGCCACAGTGTCTGACGGTCCACAAAGTCAAAGGTGATCTTCAAGTCAAGGAAGAACACCACTGTTGATTGCTGGAAACTCTCGCTGTTCTAGAATGTCGGAAGTTTGAAAATGCGATCGACATATCCTCTTGCGTGGCGGGACCCAGCTGAGTTTTCACGGACCTGCTTCTCTCTGTGTTCAGTCAACCTTGAAGGATAAGACCAAAGGGCACCTTCGATGCCATAGCCACCAGGCTGATGCCGTGGTAGTATTCCACGGTGTTCGTGTACCCCTTTTGGAGATGGGAATAACTGTCGATGTGCCACATTTCAACACTGTCTTCACTCCACACAGCACCAGTAGGATTTACCAAATGGGTTACCAGGAATTTGCCCCCTCCTTTTGGACGGTTGACGGTACTATTTTGTGTAAGGTATGATTTTTTCCGGTGGCAAAATCCTTATAGATCTAGACTCATCCAGCAAAACTGTTTTTGCTTAGACTTCACTGTTTGACGTCTGGGAGATTCGCATGCACGCGTCCTACTCGTTGCGTGCTGCTATGGATTTCTTGACACATTACTAGCGATTCCGACGACATATAATAGTCAAGTGATCGTTTTGGAGGAGTAGTGTCGGTTTACAGAAGACAGTTGATATTTGTGAGGTATGGTAAGTCTCCGAAAATGGTGAGCTCGTACCCTCCTTGCTGACTCACGAGGACTTGAAGGAAACGAACTGTCAGTGCTCTTTGGAGGGGAGGCAAACGGTCCAGAGAATATGGTGCATCAGCATTCATCCCCACCTTCATAATGGCCACTGTATACACAATCGTTGTATTAGACTGACGGTGCTGTTCGGTCTTATCTTTCGAAAGTCGCATGGACACAGAAAGACATCTGTGCAAACCCATCGTAGTTTCTTGCTGGATACATTTATCCCGTTTTCACCTCCCCAGATTCTGGGACGCAGGTGCTTTATCAACCAGAAGTGGTCGTCCTTAGCCTGGTAGGTGTTTTTTGTTTCTAATGACCGTCATGCACTAAAGCAGTGTCTGCGAAGCGAATTCTTCAACTCCCCAAACTGCTGTACGCCAACTCATATGGGCGCGCGAAGCTCACGATAAGCCCTCGCCTTAATCCGCCTTCGTCAGACAAGGTTGTTCTCCTTCCCCTTGTCTGTTATCTTATCTTTTGATCATCGACATGGTCATGGAAAACTGGCTTCTAGCCTCTAACATGGTAGGGGTCAGAATACTCCCAGAGTGTTCACTCTTGTGTTTGACATCCCCAACACTTCCCGTTGTAGGAAAAGTCAGTGACGGGGCTTTCTCGGGTCGGTTTGGAAAGCAGTCGCTTGCCGTCGGGGGCCGTCGACCCACCTTCTGGGAAAAAATTGATTCCCATGTTGACCCGCTCTACGTTGTCTATGGCTACGCTCCGTCAGGCTGTAGTTCGAAAGTGCTGAGAAAAATTTTTTGTGAAAGGTTGCTATGGCATTCTGTTGGTCTCGAAAGATGGCGAGTCGATCCGATTCTTGTGCTCCGTCCAGGTGTGTTCAAAGGGACGTTCTCGCGTTTTTCATAAGACGTAGCCAAGGATCCAGGGGTCGTACCTTGGTGTTACGTATCTGAATGGGTACGTTCAGCCATAGCACCCTTTCAGTGCCTACCTGCCATGCCACCAGAAGGAAGCACGAGGGTTGGAATACTGCCAGGCTGCCCAAGCCTAGATGGGGGAAGTCGAGATGACAGAGGTCAGATTCGAACCACGAACTTCCCGATCAGTAACTTCGCGCTCTAACCACCTGAGCCATCTCGCCCCTGAATGGGTACGATCAATGGCTGTACGCGACCTGAGAACAAGCGCACAAATATCCAGCTATGGTTTACGGCCAACCGCACTTAGCACAGAGAGAAGACTGGACCTTCAGAGGCGAACTTTTACTGCTTCACCCAAGTGCGAAGCACAGCCGGATTATCGTGAATATCGTGAACGACAAATTTGTTAGCATACACAAAGTACCGTTGGCCAACAGGACAGAAGTGCGGTCCTTTTAAAATAATGTGCGGCATGGTGGAAAGGGCGCGAAAATTAAAATTTCAAGTTTTCAGAAAATAAGTTTGACAATAACTCGACAAGTGGTTTTTCGGGGATACTGATATTCCAAACGGAGAAGCCTGTGACTACTTTTGCTCTCGGCAGGTTTGCGGAAAATCCGCGAGCTGCTCTGTGGAAGAGCCATGCCGAACACTCATCACTACAGCGATTCGGGACTGGCATGTCAGTGGAGCCACTGCAAGTGAACCTTCTACTTCGAAGTTGCGTCAACAAACTTTAATGGAGAGCATTTAGGCGGAATTCCGCACCGAAACCGCTTTACCGCTTGCAGTTAGTGCTACTACGTCCAAAAAGTCTATCCCGCACGTGGTTGGCATACGGTGTGGATCCACGTGCCAATCCTGATGCAGTATCCACCGGATGCCATTTGTAAATTGCACTTCCAGAACGTGTCAGAATTTCTAGAATATTGTCACCGCATACACTTGATATACGACGCTCCGTAGAAGTGTTTTTAATTTGGCTATGGGTGTCAATACTCTATGCACTCCTGGCGGTCGAAAACGCTAACTTGAGTGGATCACACCGAAAACTAAGCTGAGGCGTTACCGTTGTTATACCCGTCACGTAGATCTTGCGGAAGATTCAGATTTCACCTGTAATGCACCTATGCTCGGCCAAGTTTACGGATCAAGAGTTCAACATTTAACGCAACATCCATAGCTCTGAGGTCAACTCGGACTATATCCATGTAGCCGCAAAATGTGTCTCGAACGCGGTGTTAGCCTCAGGATCACAGTTAAACTCTGCTATGCTCTTCGCGATGCCCTCATCCTGCTGACTCGGCATCAGAGGAAACGTTGTAGTTGTAGCGGGGACTCAGCTGTGTGAGCATATCTCGGCTTGAGAGTTGTTGCTCGAGAAACGCCTCTACTTTTACGGGATTCATTGTGAGAAGACTGAAGAGAACCTCGTCGTCCGAATTTCGAGGACGATCATTGCTATGCGTGACGTGAGAACGAGCGCCCAATCCCCCGGCTGCGACGCAAACCTAACCACTTAGCGGAGAGGAAGACATTAGCAGCTTTAGCAGTAACAATCTCAGTCCTTGCAGCTTATGAACTTGGTCACTGCGTAGAACTATCCGAAAGGCTTCGTGAAAGTTTGTGTTATTCACTTTGACACTGCATTTCAGGCGTCTGCTTCAGTGACACTATCTTCAGCGATTCACCGGCTTAGTCAGAAACTTGGTGAGTGGGTTTTGTAAGCTTACGGTTGATTTTCTACCGATCCAAGGGTGGCACCAGTCTTCAAGGATAACTCAGGATTTTAGTTTGGACGGTTAAGTCAGCGAAGAAACTGATAATAAATCATAATACTTGCTCAGCTGTAACACACTTTTGATGCCTAGCTCCCATGCCACCCGAAAGGCTGAAATACTGTAAGGTTTCTCAAGTCTAGACAGGAGCAGTCGAGATGTTGAGGTTGAAATCGAACCACGGGCCTTCCGGTCATAAGTTCACGTCTCAACCACTGAGCTATCTCGAGCTCAGTAACCGCTTGGTCTCAACGTGTCTTGTGGGCCCCATCGCCGAACTCGTAATTGATTTTTAACGTGCGCGACGTGGGTTCCTTGTCTATCTAGGATACCAACTGTTAATTACTGCTGTAAATCAACGGTGGTCAGCGACTATAATTCTTTTCCGTTCTGACTACTCATGAGTAGCAGCTTTATGCCCTTCATGATAGCGCCGTTTAAATCCCTTCCTGCTCGTTTCCCTGGTTTTCGCTCCTGCTTAGGGTTTACTTATTCTTTAATAATTGATGTCAAGTTATCATCATCATCGTCATCAAAGATAGCAACATCATTATGGATGCTTCATTGCCGTAAGATTTGTTACCTGTTCGTTCTCGGTTGCAAGTTCGTGTCATGTCAACCTATTTTCGAGTGTCCGCCGGGCATCGAACCCAGAGCTCCTCGGATGGTGGACGAGGGCGTTATCCGCTATACCAACCCAATGGTTCGGGAGGCCCTGTTTTTTGTATAACTTTTATACCGCATCTGCCAGATAGGTTTTGTTGTGATTTCTTTTAAGTGGTCTGAAGCGCGCTGTCTGCTTCGGCACGTGGTACAAGCTACTGCATCGCGCCGTCAGCCAAACGATTTCCGTATCTCCCGAGCGCACTGACTTTTTTTGCGCCGTTATCTCTGTATATGGCCAATTTATATTTACTGACTGGCTGTATCTGCACGTTTGTGTATCGTTTGGCTATTGCCATTGCTTCCATAAGGCCCTGTTGCCTTACTGACCATTTTTCTGCTCCCACCGATTGGGCTATCGATCATACTTTTAACATAATTCACGATGTTCACTAACTTGTCTATCTATAGAACCACTTCTTGACAGTTCCCAATACATCATATACTCCCCTGATCCGTGTCTTCCCATCGTCTACTTAATAAAACTGTCTATAGTCTGATAGCGACAATCGTCCTGCGAGGTTCTTAGCTGCCTGGATCTTACACTAACAGTATAGTGTATTTGTTAACCCGATCCGTCATATCACGAAAATCAGTCACCGTGACGCGGACCTACGTAGTTTGAAAATTGTGTTAGTCTGTGTGCAGTGTAAGTCCGTGCACGAAATTCTCTTGCTCGAGTAGTACTCTCTAATTCGCTTCATCCGTGGCATCGAGTAGACATAGGTGAAAACATCACGCGCGCTTTGTTTAATTGTTGTGAAACATGGCATCTATCAAGAGTAGATGGACTGTCTTTCAGGACCTTAGCAACAGGTTTCTCGAAACCAGAGAGACTAGCCGATCCGCTACAAAACGATCTGAAAATGTTAGTTGCGTCATGCAATATGGGCTCGAATACATCACTTAATTAGGCCCTATATACTGCAGTGATTTGTTAATTTCTTGACGTCAGGTCATTCGCTGGAATGTTATTTTTCCCACATACTACAGTGACGTAATCCTCTGACGCAAAATGGGAGCACAAAGAAAGGAGGGACGAAATATTGAAAAACTCATTACAAGGTACAAACCTAATGTGGCGATAACAGGCCGTAAAGTTTACACTCGGCCTTCTATTGGATCTTGATGAACGGTCGTGCAACTCTGTGTCGGTCCTTGGCTTCTTGATCCGCTCACTATATGATATCAAAAGGCACGGTAGCTTCAGACAACCCCTTATGGAGACAAAGGAAGATTATTACAACCGTATTCATAGGGTAGTCACAAGGTCATGCTTGAATCTCTTTGAGGGAGCAAGAGGCGTCGAGCTAAAGACGCTCGGTCCGATTGGCTGACATTCTGGCCAACCAGGACGTGCCTTCGTTTTGTCCGTAGCGCGCACGTGACACCCGTCCAATTGATGTGTTGTTGGTTTTTTGGGGGCGGCTGGCTTCTGGCCCCTTCATTCCTTCGTTTTGTCCGTAGCGCGCACGTGACACCCGTCCAATTGATGTGTTGTTCGGTTATTAGGGGCGGCTGGCTTCTGGACACCTTCATTGGGTAATTCATTAAATCAGCAACTACAGCAGATGGACTCAACTACAATGCTTCTTTAGGTTAGATGTTCCTACTCGCGTGGATGACGGTGTTAGCTGGTGATATCTATTTCTTTCCTTGTCTACTTTTCAATTAGCGAAATCGTGAAAGCTGGAATAAATGTGTGTGGCATACCATTTGTAGCTGGATGACCGAAGTATACCATTTTGTTTCCCTTTACTTTAGTTTTCAGTTTATGAACCCGCTGATAGTTTTTTGCAGCTAGTCCATCTCACAAATGGACTACCCTGTCGTTCCCAGCAGCTGACGAAACGTTGGTGCTCGTAAGCTTTCACTTGTTCGGTGTGCAATCAACCCCAAAACGCATAACGCTCGGCGTGCAGAATTTAAATCTTGGCATTAGGTATTTGTCAGTCATCCTGTCAGTTCAAGTACTAGTAATCAAGTCGGCAGAAGCGATCACACCGCCTAGAATGTCTCGCTTTGGCCGAATTCAAGAGATGAACGCATTTTCATATGCGACTTGAATAGCAACTATCTACTTGTCGTTCAATGGGACTCTCTGGACTTATCATGGCGCCTTTTTTCTGTGCCTTTCGGGTATTTTCTTGATTCTAGCGATCTAGCTATATTAGTCCAGAAATAGTATTATTGTTTCAGTGCTGAACACGTAGCCACTCGAACCTCTTGCCTGTTGATTCCATGTCGTTCATTTCTCCCGTGACGCAGGCTCGAATAGCTTTTTTGGAAGGTGAGCGCCGTGGTCAGGAAAACCTCAAACAAGATTTGGTTCGTCGGATCAAAATGTTAGAGTATGCCTTGAAGCAGGAACGAGTGAAATTTCACAATTTCAAGGCGAACGTAGCCTCAGGTGGTGGAAGTGCTGCATCACAAAAATCGACTGCTATCGACTGCTCCACACGAAGTTGTCGAACCGAGTTGGAATCGTCGCGCGCTACCCGAACTTCAGCAATAACTGCGGATGCGAAGTTGGCCCACTGCACCGAACAGATGAAAGAGATAAACGCAAGGTGGCTGGAAAGTCGGACACGACTAAAAAAGTACGTCGTATAATCTACTCTATTCAGTCGAAGCGTCGTTCGAGGGTGCCAGTCCCGGAGCACTTACTAAATATAGTTTTAAAATTTTTCTTCAGGACGGTATCTGCGCGCAACAGTCAAAATGTCCATGAATGCGAGACATCTTTTCCTTGGAGGTTTTAACTGTGTGTTTGTACTCACTCTTCCGTTTTTATCGTGCATGGGAATGACGTTCTGCATGATGTCTAATTTTTGCGCAGTATTTATTTTAGTATTATATTTTTGCAACAGCCCTGTTAGATAAACTGTCAGCTGATCAAACAGCCTATTGTGGGCACAGTTTATTTAGAGTGCAATCTCTTGTGTATTCCATCTCCTTGGAACGTTCTACGACATCTTGAATTTATTTGGTTTTCTGCACAAAAACTTCATGTGAAGTCGTCTGTCCTCTTTCATGCAAGTGTAATGTTGTACTACTCCCGGGGGTAGAAAATTGATCCATTATGAGAAATTAGTTGAGGAGGTGTAGGTAAGCACTTAAGTTATTTCTGAGAGAATTTTTCCTGTCTTTGGAGCTTTGCATAAAAGACGCTGCCGTATAGTCATGACTCTTACTATTCTTTGTAGAACGCTATTTCAATTGGCTGACTAGTGTTCCGTTTTGTCGTGCATTTCCAAACATTGCCTACTGTGACCATGCGGCCGTTACGAGTACGGTCAGTCTACCACGATAATAATAATAACTTGCTTGCTTTTCAGGATTTTGCAAGAAATCGGATGTACCGACGCAGTTCTGACCTCTAGACAAGCTCGTGTACTGCAGCTGCTGAAGCACAATCCAGCTTGGCGTGGAGCATTGGAAATGGTAGGAGCTTCCGACGTGAAAGATGCGTGGCCTGCTTCCCGTAACATCGGTGATACTAGGTCAGTCCATGGCCGAGATATTGAAGATACTTAGAATTTCCCATTGTTTTCTTGTATTCTTATTCAACTTCGATTTCTTTCCAAAGCGCTTCAGACGATCCTCTCAAAGCGGCCCTGGCTGAGATGGACGAGGTGGTGCGGGGTGACTACGGGTCTGCATCGGACGCCTCGAGAAACATGGAATCTTCAAGTGATGAATTCGCTGAACCAGATACAACAGGCCATTCCTTGGGAAACTCAGACATGACACCATCCTCTGATGGCATTCGAATCAACCGCTTTCGCCGAACTGGCGGAGCTCATTCTCAGTCTGGAGAAAGAAAATCAACAGGCCTGTCCATTGACAGTCAGGTGGGTTTTTTTAAAAACAGATATAGTCCTTAGGTATGTGCTTCAGCCATTGCCTGCCCGTTCATTCAGTTTTGCTCTTGAGGGATACGCGCTTACCTCCGAAGTCCACGACTGCAGGTGGCTTGTAGCGCGGGGACTTCCTCGTTCATATGTATAAGAAACTGGACATCCTAACGTCTAAGCTAAACTGGTCCGACTGTCAACGGGGCGTTCACCTCCGACAGGTAGGCGAACAAAGCTGTTAACCAAGGTGATGATCCTAACGGATTATACTCGGTAACTCCCAAAAAGTGCATAACTCTCCCTGTCCATCCTGAACAGAGGACACATTCAAGGGAGAAAAAAGGCCCATCTCGCTGTAGTGTTCTCTCTTCAGGGAGATTAGTGTAGTAGTTCAGGTGGCTTCACAGAGATAATCGACTTGTGGAGAATCGGAAGCTGTGTACGCCAAATCTCCTCATTGAATAGTGTAACGTGAACGCAATTTCGGGTGTCACGTAGAACTTACTAGGTAACACTAAATAGGCCGCGCTGGTACAGAAACCGTAGAGACATTGTAGCGTTCATTGCAAACAGTTTCAGTTTCTCATCTTTTATTCATCGCCCATGCGTGTGCATATTTCAGATTTATATCTCGTTGTTTGTTTGCTGTTCAAACGCGTCCTATTAATGCCTGTCTTTTATTCTGTCTGTAAACAAATCAGATGTAGTTGTGCCCCTTCACCCTTGATTGACTAGATTGCTCAAGGGTCAAATTGGGAGCTAACGATGGACAAAACCATGGTATGGTTTACTAATACTTTCCCCTTTGTTCCTTACCGTGCTTGAAAGCCGAGAAGCGCTTCTTTCAGGTCACATGACGGCTGTAAAGAAATCGTTCAGTTGTAACACCCTTCCGGTACCTAGCTGGCCATGCTACCCGGAGGAAGCACGAGGACTGGGATACTGCCAGGTTGCCCAAGGCTAGACAGGGGAAATCGACAGGTAGAGGTCGGGTTCGAACCACGGACCTTCCAATCAGTAAATTCGCGCCCTTACCAATTTAGCCATCTCGCCTCAGCTGTATTCTGGAGGGGTTCCACAATTAAACTGTTTGGTTGGGTTTTGACCCTGGTGAACTAGGTTTCCTGAGCTTCCCGAATACATCGTCTTCAATGTGCATTTAACCGAATTCCTGGCTTTTCGGGAATAATTCAATGCAATTTAATGTCACCCGTGACTACCCGACCATCGCCACCTATCATTCCAGTTTTATGTTCCTGCAATTTCCAGCATGGTGGTTCATTGGATACCTCGGCTGTCTCAACCGTGACCTCGTTCATTGACAGCCTGAAACCAAGCGGAAGTCCCGGGCAGGTGAAACGAATTGGACATGGAGGTAACCTGGACAAGGAGATCATGGTAAGTATTCTCGTCATTCTTCCCGTTTCACGACTCCAAGCTTGGCGAACACTTGGCACTGTATAGTGAATCGCTTCCACCTTAATGGAGATTTGATCGGTTCTGTTGTTGTTTCTCGAGCGTGGTAGTTTTCTGCATGTTCCCAACAGGCCCGGTAGCTGGGAATAGCTGGCTGAATTCCGATGTTGTTGTTTTCTAAAGTGTCGTTTTTGTCATTTTGTGTGACGCGAACGGTTGGTGTCGCGAAAAAGTCGGATGCTTCTGTCGGGCTGTCCGAAAGGGTGACATTTCCGCGTGCACTTCGGTTTCTTGTCGGTAGCCGTGACGTCTGGTTTCATAGCCCAATGGATGTCCCCACAGCATCGCCCTGACAGATCTCCGTCTTGGTGATCCTTTTTTTAAACTCACTTCGCTGCATGGATAAGATATTTTTGAAAGACATTTGCGGTGGTTTAAACCATGCCTTCTATTTTTATCCCGTTGAAGTCAGTAATGTAAGGTAGCTTGGGTGTGTTGCTTGTTTTTTCGTCATTTCACCGCGCTGGGCCATTGGATTGCAAACGTTTCATCACCGTTCGAGATGACATCATCGGTGCGGGGTTGAGTGACCCCACCAACGCGTGTTCGTGTGATAGAATAACTAAACCCCTGTAATTCGCGAGCTAAATTACGCAAGCTTAGATCCGATGACAATCAGGATAAACTAGGGTTTTTTGGACAAGTTTTTTCTGTCTGTCGTACGATCGTGCCAGAGGTTAGAATCATCATGTCAAGGGTCGGGTGTTGTATCTTTACTCAACTAGTCTGGTCGGTCCTCCAGCCATAGGAGTGTTCCCATGCTACTTTGTAGGTCCTGGTGGTTGGGAGCCGAGATGGCTCAGGGCGTGAATTTACTGACCGAAAGGTCCGTAGTTCGAACCCGACCTCTGCATCTCGACTTCTTCTGCCTAGCTTTGAGTAACCTGGCCCTCGTGCTTGCTTCGGCAGCTAGGCGCCGATAGAGTGAACGATTACCTTCTTGGTAGTTAGCTTCACGGGCTTCCGTTTCGATGTCTGGCAGTGAAGCATCAGTGTTGAACACCGATGTCATGCTGTCGATGATGATGATGATGATGATTCGATGTCCGAGATTCGAATCCTTCCCGCAATTGTGCAGCCGGCTCCATCGGGTGCTGTACAACCACGCGGTTCTTACAGCTAATTATGATTAGCTGTAAGAATCGCGTACCTATACAGTGGTTGTTGCCACAGTTCCGTTCACCGATGTTTTGTGGAGGTTGGGTAGGTAGCTGCGTATTGGAGGCGGGAGTTGATTGAAGGCAATAGCTTGGATGCATGAACGCTATTGAGGGTGCGGCTGGACCGTGTCCGACTACGTACAACCAATAAATAAGCACACAAAAGACCTTGATTTAACAGGTGATATACTTGCGTCGGCATTTAGTCGGATTCGATCACACTTTAAATTTTGGTAGTTGCCAACAGTTATACCTCCGACACTGTCCTCCTGATAAAAAATGATGGTTACCAGCATTCCATGAAACAGGTGCGAGTGTAACATTCAATCACATGTGACGTTTTAACTTCCGGTTCAAATATACTGGCATTCTATGTTACAGCTTCTTGTAGAATGTTACGTTGGTTCGATGAATAAGGAGGCTGTCCGTTTGAAAGACTGACTGAATTCCTGTCAGTTAACGAAAGTCAGCAGTCCCATTTTTTAACCTCATAAATTTCATCCCGTTTTGTGTTTCCGAGGTGGTGTCATGTACTTCGTCTATGCTGAAGTATCGAGCAAGTTTGGCCATTGAGTGTAACACTCCACTGGCAAATTTGAGCAAACCGTATTGTCACTGATTTACCCTCTTAGGGGATCGAGCGCCCGGTTGGGGAACTAGACGATATTTTGACGTATGGTATTTAGGGCTCGCCTCCTGGTGGAACGGACAAAAAACGCTTTCTTTCGATGCGATTTTTTCTTTCATTCCTGAGTGCTTGAGGATAGGTAATCCCTTGTAATGCACTACTCATAAGGTTGCTCAAAATTCGTCGGCAGCCCACGATTGGTTCCGTCCTCCTTGGGGCTCATCAGGTAGGCACAGTCCCCGAGCTTCCGCTACTTGAAACCAAATTGCACGAAATTATTGAAATACACTCATTTGCAAACTGATTTGGCTTGCCTGAGAACATCACAAACGAGAGATTCAGCTGGGTTCCAGGTGAGTCTCGGACAAACAAATTAGTTTGCAAATGAGTGTATTTCGATAGATAATTCCTATCCTCACCGTCCACCGTTACTCCGAACCGGGGTGAAACAGACACGTTCCGTTCCGGTTCTCTCTGATCATATAGGATTTCATCAACTGTCTTTCCGATAAGACTGGGGACACGTCTCGTCCCGCACCCAACAGCGTCGCGAGTGGTGGACAAGCGCTTCATAATACAACCGTGACCACCGACTGGTCATCGGAACGCCAAGATCTACCCTCCAACACTGCATCAGACTCCACAGAAGTAACGGCCAAGGAAACCAATCCGGCGGATGGCCTTCTGCTCGGTGACCTTGCCAGTTTGACTGTGGCGAATGAGGCAGAAAATGTCACAGGTTAGTATCATACTAATCATTTCCTCAAGATTCATCTTGTTGTGTTTACCTCCAACGCCTTTCTTAGTGTTCCTTCACCAAGACTTGTATGCGTTTGTTCTAAAAATTCAAACTGTCGCTACCTAAAGGTCTACAGAGGTTGAACTTACCTAGTTGTACATGAGAATGATATAGCACACGTAAATCTTTGACCTTTTGATTCATTCTGGTGTACTTTAGCCTGGTTTTTCACTTTCGATGATATGAAAATTTATTTTTAATGAGTGCCTTTCGGTTTCTCGAACCCAAACTCTCCTACGTACGTTTGTGGTTGTGTAATTCGTCTGACAACCTCCGTGAAGCAGTCTCATAAGCTGAAAGTTGATCATTGTCAGTTCATCATGTCTGTTTACGCCCTTAATCGACTATAGCTCCGATTACGTCAAATGCACTTGTATGACGCCTTGACCAACTTGTTATGGCGCCTAAAATCTCAGAAATCGTCGTTGCTTTTGACGGTTTGAGTGCACAAGTGGGCAGATCAGCGCATCCGACTTGGATTGGCCCGTGTACATACAGACAACGGCTTCAGTTGTGGGCTGACACCAGGCTGTTCTTATGCAGTGACGAAGTAAAGAAAGTCGTCTGGTCACATGGTGCCTACCACATACCAAAATCGATCACATCACCATCAGTTATCGAAGCTGTGGGCCAGTAAATGACTGCCGCTGACTTTGGAACACTTGTGTGGATTCTTGCCGTGCACTTGTCCGAAGTCATTCCTATCTTCGCTTCAAAGTTCTTCGCAAGAAGTGAACGAACCGCTTAGCGATTGAGAGACCGTCTGGGCTCTCTTCTAACTGCTTAATCGTTGGATGTCAATTCGTACTGGAACGATATATCCACATCCTTGCACAATCTTGGGAGTTTTGGCTGTAGTACGGCAATGCCAACTCCATTCAAGCGCTGGATATCAGACCGAACAGTGGCACCACTTGGATCTCGGAGGAATATTCCTGCCTGTGCCGAACATAATTCAGCCCGACGAACTGTCAGACTTCATGTGAAAATTGGTGTGTTCACTGTGGAAAGTCATGAAATTGGGGCGAGGAATTCTGGGAATGTCCAAAGGTCGTTTCGGTTGAACCTTGCGGCTGGCCCCAGAAACCGCCTGTGAGCGAAACGATCAAGGGTCAAAGCGGTGCGACTATCTTCAATAAAGAAGAACATCTCGACCGCTGACTCGAGCCCAATTTTCGTGACCGCCTGCTGCTACTCCGCCGGATTTTGAACCGCACTGAAACCCTGAACGGCGAAGTTGTACGTACCACTAGTACTAACCGGAGGTGTAGTTGGAAGCTACTCACAAGAAGACATTTGACCTAATCCACCAAAGATAAAGTTCTCCGTGGGCATCCTTAGCCCACTGAACTTTTCAGTTCAGATTGCCTGATTGTGGTGGAAACACTTCGAAACACAAACGGTGCCAGAGTCCCTACCTGTCCACTTTAGGGCGAAGATCGCTGAAGCGGTATGGGTGCTTAGTGTGTTAGTTTCCGGCATATTACTTTATTTACTTGATCGGTGTTGTCCAGAAGTTGTCCAATCATGATACGCAGCAGTAATTTTATACAGTAGCTCCCACCAAACACATAATGTTTTAACTGACCTCACAACTTTTCCTCTTTCTTCCCCATCTGGGCGTAGAAGGCGACACTGGACATATTGCCTCCTCATCCCGGGACGCTTTCGACTCCAGTGCTGACCGCGAAAACGCTAGTGGCATTGCTGGTGATGTGGAAAACAGTCGCATTTCGACTACCTTCGGCTACCAACGGTGGACTCCCCGTTTCACTCTCCGTGGTCACTTTGACGGTATCCGGTCGGTAGCATTCCATCCAATTGAACGTGCCGTTTTCACAGCGGGAGAGGATGCTTGTGTGATGCTATGGAATTTAGATAAGGAAGATCAGTCCGGCTCGGCAAGTCCTTGGTTTTTACTATTTAGTGGGTACAGCACTTTTACATCTGCTTTTTTATTGTGCTGTCGTTAACTTTCACAGCTGTCCGCATGTTCGATTTACTTCGGAATCGGCTCGACGCAACACTCATTTTGTTTATATTTGTGTCCAGTGAGCTAACCATCCATTAACTGACGGGGAAGGGGCTTAATGCCAGCTTACTGCAATTACTCCGAGGTGCCTACACCTCCAAACACTCATTCAGGCAGTCTGGATAGAAACCGACAACAAGAGCGTCACCGACATCCTTTGGTTGCGATATCTTGTAGTGTCTCCACCCAGACGCGGTTGGGATCACGCGGTCCCCATCCTGAAAGGCGAGTTGCACTGATAGTACCCAAACGTTTCGTAATTTCCTTCATACCCCACTGCCAGTTCAAGGATCGGCCACCTGTGCTTCTGCCAATCCGAGCTGGGCTTGGAAAATAGCACTCTGGCAAACGATGTTTCGGCATACGTAACACATGTCCCAACCAACGCAGCTTCTGGTGCTGGACACACTCCTCGATGGAAGTATCCGTTGCACAACCGTAAACTCATCCTCTGATCGCCTCGTTACGGATACACCGACACTAACCCACACGGGCTATTGTCTTGAGACAACAATCCTTGGACATCTGAAGACGTCTCAGTTCCGCTGCTCGAACAGACCAAGTTTCACATCCATACAACAAAACAGCCTGATACACATATCCCTTGAGATTCAGGGATACACCGCTCCGACGCTATAGGTGTCTTATGTTAGGGAACGCGACCCGGGCCTTGGAGATCTGTTCATTGACCTCATCTATCACACTACAATCAGAACTAATACAACTTCCGAGATACGTAAAACGCTCCACAACTTCGAGTGCCTCTCCGTGGATTTTGTGTGGCGCATTCAGTGATTGCATGTCCAGGAGCATAACTACAACTTGTGGGTGCAAACTGCTTACCAAAGGATGGGATGACTTTGGTCACTTCATCCAGAACTACCTGCGGCTTCTCTTCACAGATGAGAACAAGGTTGTCGTCACAGGCTATTTTGAACATCGGAGTTCAGGAGACCTTTCAGCGTTCATCTCCAGATTTAAACGACCACGAAGTTAAAAAGGAATTTAGAGTGGTACCCCTCACGGTCACCGCTTTGTGTATGGAGGCTTTTGGAGAGTTTGCCGTATACTGTCACCTGTCTGGAAGTCTGAGAATGCAATGAGCTCATTATGTTCACAAATTTCCGGGTCATTCCTTAGTGAGCAAGCAAGCAGAACAGACGAGTCAAAAGCGCCTTGGAAATCCAGGAACACTAGAATTATGGGTCGCTGATACGTATGGCGTTGTTCTAGCACCTGACGGCGTGTGGAGATTGCAACCCCAACCAGGCTGGAATCTCGCTTACCGCTCTCGAGTCGGTGTCTCATAAGCCACCATAAGCCTACGAAGCATCAGTAGTGCCAACGGTCTCGTTTCGACCGGGGTCATGCTGATTCCCCTGTGGTTATCACACTCATTTGCAAACCCCTTTTTTGAAAATGGGCACTATCACCGACTCTCCCCAGTTTCCTGGAGCAGACTCCTTTTCCTGAACACAACCAAACGGATCAGACGAGCGCTGACTGAGGACTTCACCCCATCTTTGAACGATGCGGGTGGGAGGTCATCCGGACGAGAATCTTGCTGGCACTTCAGAGGACATATGCAGTCGTAAACCTCCGAGGAAATAGGAGGGTTCTACGTGTAGTAACGGTATTTTCCTCAGCTTAGTTCTCGGTCTGAGCCTCCCAAGCTAGCGTTCACGTCAAAACAACCACCATAGGTGCACAAGGTCTATTAATGCCCAAAACGAAGTCAAGAACAATTGTGCAGCGCTTCTTATGTATAGCGTAAGCGGTTATAACTTTCTGGAAGTTCTGACGCGTTCTGGATGCGCCATTGGCAACCGGCATTTGGCCAATACTGGGTCATGATTGGCTGTTGAGTCCAGACTTCTGACTAATCAGATCTCGTCTTGATGCCGGACTGGCGTGTGTCCCGAATTCTTGGCAAATCTCGTGCGGGTCAGGCTTATCGGCCGTAGCAGCGCATGAAGACGTGCGGCAAAGTGGGATCCGTGTGGAATTCTGCCTAACACTACGTCAACTATGGGCTCCAGATGGGTGGCAGCTGGTGGCCACGACAATTGTTGCTCAGGCCCTACTGACCTTAGAAGCGGTACCCACTGTATCACTTGTCTGTTATTTGCTCATGACCAAGCAGTACACTTCTACAGAATGGGCTATAGCTGTGAGTGACATTTGGCAGAGAATACTCCACTCTGTATTCACCAATGGGGTAATAGGGTGCGCCCACGTGTTCGGTGCGAGCAGTTCACTCTACGGTTAACCAGCATCTCATCCGACTACTGCAACTCCCTAAGAGAATCGCGAGACCAGGTTAAAATCCATTAAGGAAGAATGAATGAAGAACGTATCATCTGCTTTGGTACAGTCAACTTCCACCAAAGCATATCCTGAACAAAATGGATATGTCCACCTTGTGTTATTTCATCGGGTTCCGTTTCGCTTCATGAATCGAAGGCCCGATAAGTACGCTGACACTTGAGAGTTGAGCCAAACTTACTAACTTCATGTAGTTGCTTCACACTTGAGTCACGACATATGTTCTCATCGGCATTGAAGTAACAGTCCTGATTCCACGGTATTGCTTGGAAGTTGCAAATCTTCCGTAATCCCTGGTTGTATTCTGTCGAACAGTGCATCAAGACCTTTGCTATTCTGAAAGCCGCATAAACTCGGACAGTCAAGTCGGTACCACGACTTAGCAGGCGGTATATAAATTACCAGTTTTCAATTACACCGACCAGTTCAATTTCAAAATCCAACTGGACATCACCTCCACGAAAACAAGCTTTTTCATCTCTTTTCGCAGCCCCTATGAATGGGAGTTGCAGTCACCACATTTATTCCTGTGTCTACGTTCACTGCAAGCAGTCAGACTGCGTCAGTGGAGCTTGTTCCATATTTTGCCTGATGATGCTCGCAATCCTTTTTAGATAGGTTCTCGTCCTCAGAAGTTGAGTTTTCTTAACCTGAACTTTACGAAGCGAGCCTAAAAGGATCTCCCGATCAGACGAAGTTGAACAACACTTGTCAACTGTGCCGTTCAAACTAGTACGTTCAATTTCGCCACCCCTGGATTGTGCTATCGACCAAGTGGACAACTCAAAGCTTAGCTCAACGCGGTTGATAATGTGGTCCCTCATTCCATCCGTGACTGCTGCAACAAAACCATAAACAAAGTCCATCGAGTTTGTTTGAGAACACTAGATTTTAACACCAGTGTTTTGGAATAACCCTCAAACAGGAGGCATATACTAGACTACTATTTTTACTTAAACCAAACCAACGTTTTCTGTGTGCTTCATTAATGGTTGCCTTTATCGCCATGAGAACTTATGGTCATATTGTGAACATTCTTATACCAGGCCTGGTCCCATGCAAAGCAAACAGGACGTGGTTCCGCCCCCTACTCAATGGACGAACTTGATCCGTTCCACGTCTACCGTGGTCACAACGGCCCTGTACTTTGCGCTGTAACACCCAGCGCAGAGGTTGCCCATTCCATCCCCTACGCTGCGGTCACTGGTGGGTTAGATGGAACGGTGCGTGCATGGCTCATCCCACCCCATTCCACCCATCCGGAGCTGTCCACGGCGAATGAAACCGAGGCGGTGGTTGACTGTGGTGAAACCTTGCGAGGTAGGATGTGCACATTGTTTTCCCGTCTACTGTATGAAGTGGATCGAGCTCTAAAATTTACAATTCCTACTTGCTTGTTCCTGCAAGCACTGCTCAAATTTCTCAGTGTTTATGTCACCTTCATCTTACTTGTCGCTCATGTCGCCCCATGTTATTTTCAGCTAACACTTCTCAACATGGCTGTTTTGCGTTAACCAATCAGGCTTCGCTTGTCAGCATCACAGAGTCCGTTTCGCCAAGTCATGCTTTGAACATGCTTTGTTCATACAGGAACGAATTTTCGACGATCAATTCTTGATTTCAAAATCATATTTAAAAGAGCCAGTGGCACTAGCTACTGGTGTCTTCCCGGGCTGGGATCTAAAGGTACTGCGACACTCAGTGTCGCTCGTGTGATACTCACTACTTTTTCTCTGTGTGCTTGTTTACTCGATCATCCCTATTTTCACAGAAGCTGTAGCTACATACGGTTACCCCCCCCCCCCAAAAAAAAAAAAGACTTATCTGCTCAGTTATATATTGCTGATTTAAACCGTATCATGTGTCGGTTTACCTTATTAGTGGCCAGGATCTGGTTGGTAGGTAGGTAGGTAGGTGTTTTTCCGGTCGTTTGCTGATTTGGGCCAATCGATTAATTGTCAGAATGTAGCAACTCACAGCGCTGCATGTGTCTGAAAGCATTTCTACCTGTACACTCACCCGCATCCACCATCTCGGCAACCAATCGGAGTTGCTGTGGTGACAAACCATGTATCAAATCGTAGCAGCATCACGTAAGTAATCTGATTAATCCTCAATGAGCACAAAACATTCCTCCTGGTTTTCGCTCAAGGTGAGGCCTAACGATAGTGCTTAGCCTTATTTGTAAGGGGCTTAAGCGTTCGTCTGTCGATAGATGGAGTCTTTGTTCGATTTAGCTAACGCCCGTTCACCTATTGTTCATCATCCCAGCTAGCTGGATGGACAAGTGTATTTGGCATAGTACGTGCGTGTTATTCTTTGGGGCCTTTCGGGCACCCAGGTGACATGTGCCTGTTCGACTAATTTAGGTTATCTATTGTTTGCGATTTAAAAGAAGGGACTCGCTACTTATCTACTCAAATGTGAGCATGTGTACTTGTTCAATGGTGTGATTCGGAAAAATTATAACATTTTAATTTCAGCTGAAGCAATTAGAACTTCAAATCCGAGTGTAAAAAGTATCGTGAGCAGAAATAATGACCTCAGGAACTAGAGTGTAAACTTCAAATGCAAGAAAACTGATCGCGCTGCTGTTACACATGGTCTACTAATTGGTTTTCGTCATCCAAAAACAAGCCACTGGGATGAAGTGGAAAATGTGCAGCAGTGCAGTAGAATAAAGAAAGGGCACTGTCTCGATCTTAATCGCATCGCCTTAGTAGCCTGAATGTGAATGTTTTCACTGCCGTCATTCTTGTTTACGGTGACGCTGTGGATCAGATGCGTGCTTCGTTCGGTTCTGTTAACTCTCGGTATAATGATAAATAGCCACAGAAGATAGCCAACAAAAGCTCACAGAATAATGATCGAGACAATGGGACACTTTCTTCGATTAAACTAATCAGCCTTGTCAAAGGGCTAAGGCAGTGTGTTGTCATACTTGTTTGTAAGTCACGTAAGTAAGACGTATTCTAATCTAGATCTTTAGGGTCGTGTGTAGCAGGCTACAGTAGAAGCCGTGTTGTTGTATGGATGCGAGCAGTGGCCTCTGCGGACAGATGATGTGAGGCGTCTTCAGGTTTTCGACCACCGACGCCTCAGAAGCGTGGCTGGTTATGGATGGCGTCAGCGTGTTAGTAACGATGTGATTAGAAAACGGGTGTTTGGTTGTGCTGCAGGCACCTCAATCCGAGAAAACATCCAGCATCATCGACTAGGATGACTCGGTCATGTGCTACGCATGCCGAAACACCGTCTGCCGAGACGAGTGTAGTTCCCCATGCTTGCTTTAGGATGGCGCAAACCGCGAGGTGGACAGTGCATGACTTGGCGGAAGGGCGTGAAAGAGATCACGAAGAGTTCGGGTGTTGTTGGTGTTTTACGCCTTCCAGGATGGGGTCTCGGTGACGCCGTCTGTACTTGGCTGGAGAC